GCAAGGATTCGGAGACAAAAAAATTTGCTACCAAGTACTCAAACTCACAAGGTGGGCAATGCCAAGTATGGAGGTTGGTCCAATGCAGGCCGAAGGCGCTACAATGCCCTCAAGCTTGAAGGTTCAGAATGCCCGTGCAAAGCCCAATGCCCAAGATTCAAGAACAACAAATGCTGAAATGGATTTTGCAATTGTGGAAAGGAGAGACACCAGCCCCGATCCGGATGCCGTGAACAAGAGAAGAAGAAGGGCAAGCGTTTCCTACGATGATCTGGTGACTGTGCTAGGGTCCTTCCAGGTTGTACATATGGCAGCCAAGGCCCCATTGAATGGAAGCCCTTGGCCGCCTTTTTATTCCCCTTGGTGCTTTTGGCAGGGCTTTTGTGAGAATTTGTTTCCCAGTTCTCTCTGTTCGAAAGCCTTCCGGTGCTTTTTCGGTACCCATTGCCTCCCTTTCCTTTTGCTGATCTTGTTATTTTGGTCGGTGGTGGTTGCCCTCTGGTAGCCTTTTTCACACCTTTTCACCCCTTTCACCATGAGAATCTTTTACGGTGATCCATTTTTTGGTGACTCACTAATGCTCTATTTGGATTAGCGTTAAAAATCTAGCATTTTGATATTCCCACTCTTATCCTAGTCTTATCTCGTTTTACTGGTTTTAGTTGAAACTTGGCCACCTGCAGGTCCCATTTTGGTAGGTAACGCCTCTGCGATTAATAGCCCCTCTGTGCAGGATCTATTGTTGTTGGGAATGCATTCTTTATGTTCTGACCATCCAAAAACGGTGGCGATGTGACTTCTTTTTAGTAGACAATGACTTAACGGTTGGATACACCCATGGGCACAAAGGTAACATACCACGTACTGAAGTTTGTTTCCCCTGCCAGTAGTAGATTGTAAAGTACGTCACTTCCCAACCTGGAGCACCGGTTGCCTATTGGAACCTTGGACTTGGTTCGGAAGGAGAGGTTGGGATGTGTTCCCAAACGAGACCTGAGTTCGTTTTCAGAATTACCTAAATTGCGCTTCTAGATGAAATCACTAGCAGTGGCACCTGCCTCTTTTCCAACAGCTGAGCTCTGTGAGATTCATCCAAGTCAGTCAAACAAGATGATGATCCAAGTCAGTCAAAACAAGATGGTTATTGCTTCTTTGAATCAAGCTCTAGAGCAATACAATTAATTTGTGTTAGTAGAATTTTAATGATTACTCTGTAGTAGATAAAACCTACTTGTAACTCAGTCATTGATAGCTAGCTAGCTAGTAGCTATAGATCAACAGCAGCAGCAGCAGCAGCAGCAGCAGCAGCAGCAGCAGCAGCAGCAGCACACAGCACCAGCACCAGCACCAGCACCAGCACCAGCACCACACCAGCAGCACCAGCATGTAGTATTGGTACATGAGTCCTCAGTCAACATGCATGGAGATTCTTAATATCAAGGCTTTTAAATTTTTACTTTTAACATTTTTACCTAAAAGTAAAATTTCATTTTGTACAGGCTGGTTTCTCTGCGTCTCCCACAAAAAACACACTTGGTACATTTGCTTTAAGTCTTTGAGTCTCTCACTGGTTAAATAATTGGCTACTCATTAAATACTTAAGAACACTAGGTTCTTCTAAGGACTTAACAACTTCAACTGACGTGGAAGGTGCCATTCTTCTTTAGGAGCACTGCACCAAGGAAATGGCACCAAATTCACGCGACTCTACAATACCGTCTCTATGCTGACCACTTTAATTTTAAAAATTTAATTGCATCATTGCTCTCATAGCAGTCGTACTTTGGTCCGTGGCCCATCAGCCAAATGCCAACCCACCCACGGCATGAACGCATCCACGCACCGCGCACTACTCCAATAGCCAGCCAATCCTTGAATGCTACCGCTGTCTACTAGTAGGGTAAAATCTGTGAAGGTCTAATAGGTGATTGATTGAAATTGCATACGGTAGAATCATTGAATTGGTTGAATGCCAAGCTATTATTGCATTGCCCTCCCGGCCCCCCTACACTGAAAGTCTTCCGATGCACCCATCCATCCATTCCCACGGACACCTTCCTCTAGTGTGCAGTAGTACAGCTAGCTAGCTATTGGTTGACGGCCCCACATGCCGACGGAGACCTTCGAATGGCATGAATGAGTTGCGAAAATGTGGATTTCTTGGAGGCAATGAACCGAATGGTCGCACATGCCGCCAACTGTTGATCCAAAAATATTTCCGGATAGACGAGTTCTTGTTTGAGTTGTTTGGTAACGTACGCGGCATACGAGGATGCAAAAAAGACGCGGATATCGGGCAATAGCGGTGCGAGTTGTCGTTGAAGTCGTTCCGCAAAGTCTTGTTGTCCTTCGGGTGATGCATCGGTGGCGACAAAGAATCCAATAGTGGCTGGAATGGTTTTCTTTTTGGACTTGCGACGATCGATCCATTGTTGCATTTGCACGTATGTCTCCTTCAGCACCTCTTGGATGGTCGCATTGGCTTGACGGAGAAAGCGATCATCTCCCACTCGTAAATGAATGGATGCGTAGGGAATGTCGTCCCATTCTTGCTCGTGAATGGTTTTGGCCGTTTGTCGAATTGGGTTGGAGAATCGCATCCAGGATAGTTCGTGATTGTACGCCGACGGCAGAAACTGGCCGTAGAATGTATCGAGCATGGTCCAGACGGAATGTGCCTTGCGTCCTTCGGCCAGTGTCGGCAAATCGCGGTAATACGTGTGCTTTGCTCCCGGAACCGGCGCCCCGTGTGTAATGTTGGGTTCTAGATCTTCTCGAATCCATCGCGTATTGGCATGGGTGTAGGTATCTTCCATGACCCACGAGTTGGCGGTGAGGTTGGTTTTGGGTTGACCGCGAGTGTCGTAATACTGTTCGCGAAACTTGCGATAGTCCATGGTTTGAACATGCGGAAACGTGAATTTCAAATCGAGGACGGTCGCCATGTCAAGGTAGGGTTGCCATCGTTTGAGGTAGGCTTTGTGGAGTGCAAACTTCAAATTGAAATCTCCACTAATGACGCCGTGTCCTAGGAATCGTCCCGGTGGTGCCCAAAGCTGTGCTCCAATGGGGGTAATGTGCGGCAAGACGGGTGCCGTCACGAGTATCCGTCCCGTCGCCGCGGCCATGTAGTAGGCATGGCGAATGCAGCGTACTTGATTGGACCAACCTCCGTGGCTGGCGTGTATCAGATACCGTGGTTGTTCCTGATCTTGTGTAACTTGTTGCGATTTGGTTGTGGACTTCCCACTGCTCGTACTCGGAGCTTTGGTGGGGACGGGCGTGGGAGGTGATGATGGAGCAACTGTGGGACCTTTTGTTGGCTTGGATGCAGGAGCAACTGAGCGTTTTAGTACTTTCGAAAGCGGAACGGCGCGACTGGTTTTCTTGGCTGGTGCGTTGCCGATTGTAGTAGGGCCATGGGGAGATGCTGCTGTTGTTGTTGCCGTTGTACTAGCATCAGTACTCTTAGGAGTCCCTTCCTTGTTGGAATCATCCGTGACTAAGGCTTTGTTTTCGGCTTGAAAGTTCACACCGATATCGGTAGCTTGAGCTTCCCTAGACGTGCTTACACTACCGGTGCCACTATTAAGATCAATATCAATAGAAGCGGTAGCATTGCTAGTAGTGCTATCAATGGGATTCTTGGTAATCGTATTGGCATCTCCTCCTTCAGCCGTTGCTCTTGGATAACGGTAGAGAGTGATCGTTTCGTAATCCGATAGAAACAAGGCAAAGCCAAGAATAACCGTCACCACACAAAAAGCGCTTCTCACTCTTCTTATCCAGCCATTGGCATGACTATTAATAATTGTGGCAGAGTTATCCATTGTCGCTGTCTCTGTCAATCTCTTATCTGAATGCTACTGCTGTATTATGATGGACGTGCTACCCTTGCGTTTCCTGTGTTGGAGTTGGATTGTGTGCCGACGAAACTTGCTTGCTGGGTCAAAGGTCAAAGGTCGACTGAGAATAGTTGAGAACACGAAATGATGACCCGACAAATTTGTGTTAATCCATTGCGTTTATGTTCCAAAAGTGTTCTGGTCATTTACACGCGCTTTTCAAATAAGCAACATACATCGCTTAAATAAATGCATGACTCGAAAGCATTCGTGCTGTCACTGATTTAAGAAATAAATTCACTTTTGAGTGGTCTTGTTTGGTCGCAAACTGTAATAGTCAATGTTCAGTGACTCCTGCGATGGCCACATACTAGTATGCATATACCTGCCACATGGTATCTAGCTAGGACCTGCCAACTTGGTTGGAGAGCGTCACTTTCTCCAACTCAACTAAGTACAATAATCTCCGACTCCAACAGATCACCAAAAGATCCCAAGCATTATTTACTATACCGGTAGAACATAAAGCTAGCCCTCACTTTCACCCTTTAACTTGTTATAGGTACTATCACCCTCTAGCTAGTGCCTTCCGATGGGACCCGGATATGCTGCCATCAACGGATTTATCCGCGAAACGAGGACAAACATCCTCATTTTAAATAGATCGCGACAATGGCCAATAGACCTCCCCACAACAACAGTTACATCAATAGAAACAACTATTCTATAGTCTTGTTACTACTGAGGCCAAGGAGTAGCCTGCCAACTGCATAAGGCGGCAACAAAGTGGAGTTTTCAGGTGTAGCAGCCGAATAATCGCAATAATGGCATGTCGATCGCACTGTACGTTCCTTTCTCTAAAGAGCTGTTTTAAAAGGGGCACCGGTCCCTGTGGAGTTGCAGGCAGGTCTTTGTGTTGTCTTCTCCCACTCGATGGTTCTTTCGAACGCCAACAGTGGGATTGCATATGGGCACTCCATAGAAAGTCTTCGAACTTCCGTCTCCCATCTTCCGACACGTCTCCTGTCTCTTGCACTGTGGATGGCTGCATTCGTTGCGTGTATCTTTACCACAGAAGGTACACTTTCTCTTATTCCCTTGGCCATTTGCGTTCTTGTCATCATTTGCTACGGCATCATGAGGATATTGTCGTGTTCTTCGCGCGGTGGATCCAAAGGAGAACTCACTGGTTTGATTGGTGCCAAACGAAAGAGGAGAATCACTGGCAACAGATCCACAGCAACCTCCCATCCGCTCCATGAATTCAGCAAAAGCAACCTGCATCGTCATTGGCGCTCCGAGAGAAGCCATTGGATTGCAGTTCCTGAAGAGCGCATCAGGAGCAATGTAGCTTTTTGCACTGACAGCATTGCCAGAATGCCGGTTGTTTAAGCATTCAAATGCAAGCCTATCCGCAAACTCTTCCACGGACATCTTGGCAAGATGAGGGCAATGGTGCCGAACAGCCAAGTACGCATCGACCACAGTCATTCCCACAATCGTGGTGACGTTACGGAACCAAGGGTTAGTTGTCCTCCAGTGTCGCTCAAGCCCAAGAAGGAACTGTCGGAGGTGGTTGTGAGTGTCGATGCGGTTGGAGCAGCTGAAATACTTGCTAATGACCTCTGGCCGCGGTACCTTCCGTCTGCAGACGTTTCCATGTTTGTCTGGAAACCGAGCAATGTAAGGTGTAGCACCAGGTTTGGTGGAGCCAGCGTTCTTGGTAAGGACAAAGTGAAGTACCTTGCGAGCGTTGTACTTGTATCCAATGGCAACAAGATCAACACCGTTGTCGGGAGTCTTGCACTCCATAACAATGTAAGCACCACTTGGCCATTCTTTCATTGCTTTCTCGATTTGTTTCTTAGGAAACCAGCTGCTGTTGGTCTTGACACCCGCAATCAACTCGTGACCACGTTGGTTGACACCAGCCGAGGGCTTGAAGACGTACCCAGAAGGATTGGAGCCTTCATCATTGTCATCTGCTGGATGCATCAGCTTGAACGCCTCTGCAAGCCACACGGATCCAAACCACGAGTCAGCCAGAATCAGATGCCGAGTCTGTTTCTCCTTTGCCACCTGTCGCTCTCTGCTGAACTGACCCGAGTGGACAGCGTTGAGGCTGCACCGAAGCGAGCAAGCGGCTGTTGCCGCAACATCGTCAAAGAATTCCATATCCTTCATTTCATCCACTCGACGTTGTATCTCAAGGTACAAAATCATTCCACTTTCGCCACATGCCGTGCCCTTGTACTCTGTACCGAGTGGTTTCGGTTTGCGGAAGACAAAGGAGAGTTTAGGAAGGAGAGAGCTTCTTGTTGTTCTTGGTTGAAATGCAGACATTGACTCGTCCAACACAAGGATAATTGACGCGGCAACCCATTTCCTCCTGTTGTTGTTGAAATCATCTACAAGGCTACTGATTGGATGCCATAAATCATCTGAATTGTCCTTCGTAACATCAAAAAACGCATAGAACATTCGGTCTTTGATGCTTCGAAATCGTGTCCAAGAAATGATTTTGGTTCCGTCTTCTTTGTCGATGCTCAGGTTGATAGATTCGCACACTCCACGGAAATTTTTCTCAGACTCGAAGAGCTTCTTCCCTCCTTTATGCAATGGACACGCAGCAAAGATAATGCCCCACACTTGCCACCACTCTTTTCCTGACACTGGGGCAACTTTGGTCCCTCCATGGATTCCAGACTCGAGTGCCACGTTCAAGCACCGGAGCTGGTCTTGCCAGTTTCCTGGCCAAAGATGCTGCAAGAGCATGAGAAACGGAAGGTCAGAGCTGGGGCCAAACTCTTCGTCAAGTCGGCCTCTGTCAAACCGACTGAAGTCAAATCCAACGACGCCACTCATTGAATAAGGTTGATCCTCCACAGGATCGTCAGGCACAGAGTCTCGAACAGTTTCCCACGTGAAAATCCTTTCATCTTTGACTCCTTTTAGCTTTGTTGACGGTATGTTAGAGGTTGCTTCAGGCTCTCCTTCAAACATAACTGTCCACGCGGGTTTTCCATCTTCCTCACGGTCGTCTCCAACAATGAGACCTTTTCTTCCTCCCTTGCGCCTTTCTGCAACCATGGATCCAATCTCCAAACCATGGCCGTGTGGTGGCTTTCTTTGCACCGTCCATTTGTCTGCAATTAGCTGCTCCTTATCCAGAATGTACTGATCCCACTTTGCTTTGTGCTTGCTCTCATCTAATTCAATCCCTCTTGATACAACTAAATCGTTGGGTTCGAGAGCGATCTCTTCACCATACTCCACATCATGCAAGAAGTATGGAACTTCTTCTTGTACATCGTCTGGGTCATCCTCAATCCCATCAGACACTGAATCAGTTTCCGATGCCACGCTTGCGGTGGCATCATCATCGTCGAGTACTGTTTCGATTGCCTTGGACTTGATTTGTAGATGTGTTTCCCATCGATACGAAGGACCATTACTCGAAGACGAAGACGAAGACGAAGACCCGGGCAGCAGAGGAGCCTCTTCCATTGGTGGAGCCTCTTCCGGTGCAGACTCTTCCAGAGAAAACTCTTCCTCCACCGTTGGATGCCGGAGCTGTTGTGACGTCTTCTCTACTGCTGGTCCAAACAGTTTGCCATTTGTGCCGACCTGTCGTATACTCCATTTCCGAAGTCCAACTGCTTCAATGATCACTGCTGGTTTCTTTCCTGATTTCACAATTACCGTAGAGCCTTTACGAAAATTTGCTTTCTTTGGGCGTGAAGGCCCCTTGGGCTTGATCGATTCCATCGCGACCGATGTGGCCGCCTCCGCTGCGGATTGTGCCACACGGCCTCAGCTGCAACACCACCATTCAACGGCTGTTGCTTCGCCTAACACATCATTCTAAGGGTAAGCGATTATTCACATTGTGTGTGCCATGGTGCCGATATTTGTGCAAACGCCATGGTGCCGATATTTGTGCAAACGTTTGAGTGAGAGCGAGTGCGATCAAAAGTGGACCGACCGTGCGGGGATGGGTGCAGTCTTAAGAACTCCTTCGCAATATGGTACTCAAAGAATTAACAACATCTAATAGATTTGATATCTCTACTGCTAAGAATTGATTGGATTTCCGTATTACCACCTCATTGGTTTCGTTTCGACGGCCTCACGATGATATAATAGCGCTCATTGCGCTCATTGCCAACACAGTTTGACTTCTTTTCCTCTTTTCAGGCATCAAACTTGGTGACAGGCTTGTGGCGGCGACCGGAACGACGAGAAGCAGCCGTGGTGGCAGCAGCAGTTTTGGTGGTGGCAACAGTTTTGGTCACTTTCTTCTTGTTGTTGTTGTTGGTCTTGATTGCTGGAGCTTTCTTGGGAGCGGCTTTCTGCTTTTCTTCCTTCTTTGTTTCCTTCTTGGCTGGTTCCTTCTTGGCTGGTTCCTTCTTGACTGTTTCCTTCTTGACTGATTGATTTTTGGCTGGTTGCTTCTTGGCTGGTTGCTTCATCTCGACAATCGATTCAACATCAGAGTCAGAATCCATTATATCGTCCATCATCTTCTTCAATGAATCAACCACCTGCGAAGGTTCCTTAAATCCATTGGAGGCACGATTGAAGTGCACAATGCACACATTCCGCCGTTGCAGCGCGAGCAAGACTCCTACATTATGGACTGGGTGGGATGGTATGGAAATTTCTCCAAGGCAGACCTGAAACGGATCAACTATGTGCGTCTGTACTTCCAAGTTGTCACGGTAGCCGACATCACAACGGCATGTGGCACATACATCCGGGAGGAGTTCTGGCATGGCTTTTCCAGTCCACTGATGCCTCGCACCACCTACTTCAAGAGATTTCAAGATCGACCCAGGGATCCCAAGACTTGGTGGTTGTGGAGGAAAGCCTTATCCCTGTTCGCTCCGAATCTGACGTTGGATGTACCCCTGGGGAGGTGGCTCGTCTCTGCTGACAAGCTCCGGATGCGACACAGGTTCTTCTATGAAGTCGATGCCAACGTCGTCTATCAACAAGTTGACAATGAAGAGTCCGAATTCTGGATGTTCCAACATCCAGTCCTGAACAAGGAACGGACAGTTCATCGCTGGGAGTTCGGAGATGAGACCTACCTCGACGCCAGCATCCTACACAACTCGGTGCCACTGGATCCCTACTTCCCCCGATCTTGCACATCTGTCCAGCCAGACTCTGGAAAGCGGCGAGTCCTAGACCTGACCCTCTTCAACAAGCGTGAGACAGTGGTAGTTGGTAGTGGTTTCACAGCAGGCATTCCTGCTCGTCCACTACCACCCACACCGACAACATTTGAGGATTTCCTTGCCACTTTGGAGCCTTGGGAAACAGCTCTCTATGACGAGCTTGAGTGGATGGTGGACGCCTACTCAGTCCTGCAGATTGTCACAGCCATGCCCTTCTGGGTGGCTAGTGATGGAGCTGCAGACATTGAAGCCGGTAAGGCGAGTTTTGCATGGGTCCTGGCAGACAACCGCGGCCAAATTGTGCTTCGGTGCTCTGGTCCAGTTTTTGGTATGGTTCCGACTTCATACAGGGCTGAGGCCTATGGCATTCTATCCCCTACTTGCCTTCTTCGACGATTGCTGGAGTTCTACGATCAGACCAGCATGAAGAATTATGTACACTTATGCGACAATGAATCTGTGACGAATAAGTGCGCTAGCTGTCTCGAGTATGAGGGCTGGTACCCCAATGATTCGTTGGACTCCGACTGGGATGTCTTGCAGCAGATCGAGGATTCGTTCCGGGCTGCAGTCACTGTGCCCAAGATGGAGCACATCAAATCGCACCAGGACAAGCACAAGGCCATCGAAACACTACCCCTAAAAGCACAACTGAACTGCAGAGCTGACAAACTGGCAGGCAGTTACATGAACCGACACATCCAACAGGATCACTCCAAGGTACTCCGATTTCCGGCAAACCTGGCCCAGCTGCACCTTCCCAGAGGAACATGCACATACAAGCTCCCCAGAACACTGCGGCATCTCAGGAACGACCAGCCACTGTTCGACCACATTGTCAAACTGAATCCCGACTGGGACGAGGACACCCCTGCACTGGTTGATTGGACAGCCCATGGTCGAGCTGTCAACCGTCATGAGATCCACAAACCGACAATTGTGAAGTTCCTATTTCAATTGTTGCCAGTTGGGAAACGGATCCACCGGGATGACCCCAAGTATGATCACCACTGTCCCCGTTGTGGCGGTGATCACGAGACTGAAACCCATGTTTACCGATGCCCACATGTTGACGTGGATTTGTGGCGAGGGACCATGCAACGAGCGATCAGCACAAAGTTGCGCAAGGATTCCACCGACCCCTTCCTCCTGGAAATTGCTCTGGATGGACTACAATACCACTTTGAAGATCGATTCCTCCACCCATGGCATTACCCTGACCGGTATAGGGACCTCGTGGACACTCAAAATCTCATTGGTTGGGACAACTTCCTGAGAGGACGTTTGTCCACGCACTGGGCTAAGCATCAAGATGCATACCTGCATCGGGTCGGCTCCCAGGAGACAACCAAGACAGGACAGCTCTGGGTCACCAACCTAGCCTCACTGCTCATCCAGCAGTGGTGGCACCTGTGGGAGGATCGAAATGCTGCCCGGCATGGCAAAGATAGGGAAGACCAGTGGAAGAAGAAGCACGAGCAGCTTCAGCGGGAGGTGGAACTCATCTACGAGAAAGCGGATATGATCCCAGCGGAGCTGGTGGATTTTATCTTCAAGCGACCGCTTGATGAGCAAATGGCAAAGGGCCCAGGCGACATCAAAGCGTGGCTTGCCAATTGGCTGCCCGTCGTCGACAAGGCACTCAGGGACGAGCATGCGCGCACCGCGCCGAACAATGACACAGGGTAACTATGCACAGAGGGGGTCCTACCGTAGAAATAGATGGCAATCCAGCCAAGGGTAGCTAGTTAGTCGTACAGCACCCTCCGGAGTTTTGTTAAATTTCTCCGGTGGGGGGCTTACACTAGGCCCATCCTAAGTGGGCGCACTTGTGCGCCTGAGGTATATGGGTTCGTCACGGCACCGTTCAGCGGATCGTCTGACGAGGTGTAGCCTTTAAAATAAACTCTTGTTATTTTTTTAAGTCAACAACCTTCTGGTCAATTTTGATAGTTCCAGCCTTCACCACAGTGACAAGCACCTTCAGCTTGACCATACATCAAACCCTACAAGGCCAACACACAGTCCATTGTCACCAAAAAGGACCTACAAAGCTACAACCTCATTGCCGATAGCGAGTTAGCTAGCCAGTTCTTGACACTTGACACGACAAAAGCACCCAATTCGCTGGAAAGAAGCGGTGAAGCGGTCCTTGTACTGGTCCTGTCAACGTTCTCAGAGAGAACACAAGCCTTATTGGCTAGCACCTATTCTGGCAACCGTTCAAGTCTTTTACGTCCGGAGAAGCAACCACTGCTTATTACATTGTACAAGGATTAAATCTTCGACGTACCGGGCCTATCGCTTTCAACCCAATTCAGCGATTTACAAGGAACGTCTTGATTTATTGTGGTGTACGTGGCATATCTCCTCAGTACGCCCGTGCAGTTTTCGCGTGTCACGAGTTTCCGTCTTGTGCTGGTTTCAGCGACCCACGGAACGTCCAGGAACGATTCGACGTTCTTTTTCCAGAAGTCGCTCAGCCAATCAAAACGTCCGTGCAGTTTTCGAGTGATACGGTACTTATCGGTCGTGCACTGAGTCAGTGAACGTTGTCACACGGAACGTCAAAGAGTTCTTAATCGATCCTGGATCTTTGAAGACTTATACAACAACGTTCCCCGTACCGGTTCTTGTTCTGAAAGCAGGCTCAGCTCCGGTAACCTGTTTGCCCTCACAATTTAAGGTGTTTACGTGGTCGAGTCATTGAAAATCGTGAAATCGCGATTTTCCTTCCGTACGGAGCCATCACCCACCGATTCGAGTAACTCAAGGAACACGGGGAGTCGAACGAAGAGGTTCGAGGCAACAAGAGTATCACCATCGAATCCGCCACCCTTCAATTGGTCAGTGGGTATCTCACCTTGAATTTTTGGAGCTTTTGTGGGGAGATTCATTGATCCCAGTAAGCTAGCTTCCAGTGAGGCAAAATCTCACAAATCCAAGTTCCCAGCACCACGGCAATTCAGGAAACAGGTTCCAGACCCTCTACACTGGCTACCTTATTCAACTACACCTAGATTGAATTTTCCAGGCCCATAGCAAGGTCCCTGGAGGTCATCTTTGTGGATTCCAGATTACAGTTGAGCCAGCCCTTATTGCACTGCAACAAGAGCTGAGATCCAGTGTTGCCACCAAGTACAGCCTACACCTCTTCCTGTGACAGACAACAAGAGGCACAATGTCTAGCTACACCGACCAATGCTGGTGCCACTACTCAGACCGATGCCCGTCCCAGCACCAATCCATCTTTGCAATCCTTGACAAGGCACCGGCATCACCTGTTCCCAAGCCAATTGCTACCCCAACAGCCTATGAAATGGCAGAGGCCATAGGTGGCTTCAAACCAATAGCAACCATATCACCATCCAACTCAAGACATGGGATGGCAAAAGACACTCTCCTGTGGGAGATCCGGTCGCTCAATTTCGAAGTGACTGATGTGGCTAGACGCATGATGGCCTACAGCAGGGCTAGAGGACCGATGGAACAACACAGGCAGCAAGCAGCCACCGGTAGCGACTACAGGGCCAGGCAGCACAGGCAGAATGTAGCCGCCTCCTGGACCAGGCACCCCAACCACCAGGCAGTTTCCCAGCCAGCTTATGGGGAGCCGCCAGGCACTCGTCCTTTGCCCCTTACAGCGGCCCACCACCAGCTGACCAATGCCACTCCACTGTCAGCCATGGGCAGTGCTGATGGCGTCCACAAGCCGACTGGTGACAGTGCTATTGGTACCCAACGGCTCCACAGCCCACTGAAGCAGCAGCGCCACAGGGCTACTCGTTCCAAGCAAGATGCCACTGCCATCCAGCAAGGACTGGATGCCACTGCCATCCAGCAACGATTGACCAATGCCCTCTTGGCTACCAACCAGCTGCCCACCAATGTAGCCACGGCTCCATCTCCCAAGCTAGCTTGTGGAGAGTTGCCTGTCACACGACCCATGCGTGTCCCAGCTACGAGCCACCAGCTGCCCAGTGCCACACCCTTGAATGCCCTCGCTGGTGCCCATCCTTCGTTGGATGATGGGGAGATTATCGAGCTTACCAGCCCTAGTAGTCATCCAACCTCTGGGGAGATCATGATGGCAAAACCTCCAGCCAGCAAGCAACCAGCTTCCAGAGCTGCCGCGAACAACATTCCAGTTGCACAACCAAATAGACCAAGTGTGGCTCCCACTCAGTCAGCCCTACAACCAAGAGCACATGAGCAGACCCACACAGTGGTGACCCCCAGGCAACCTGCTCCAAGGCACAGAGCACACAAGGGTCCCACCACAACCAACATTGGCAGGAGACCTAGTGGCCCATCACCTATAGTGAGGCCCAAGGTTCCCA